CCAAGGCTTCTGGTCGGCTGTATGTTTTTAGTGTGTATCCAGGGCTGGGAACTGGCTATATTATGTTTAGTCAAGGCCCCAAACACTCTGATTCAGTGTATTCAACACTCCAGGTCATAAACATTTGCTTGTGTGATGTGCCCACTGATGTAATCTGTTGGCAGTGTGCCTTCTTTGTTAGGCCTGCATATAAAAAGAGCCTATGTAAAAGACTCAGGAGCCAATAGAGGGCTAAAATGGAACAGGCTGGGGGTTGAAGCTGAAGCTGAAGCTGGAGGCTGTTATCACCTCTGAAAGCATGTCTACTATCCTAAGTGTCTTGAATCATCTTCCACCTGCCAGAACTTCAAATCTGTGTCCTGGTTCTGAGGCCCTGCATGACAGCAGGGAACAGATAACACATAGCCTGAAATAGTACCCAGGTAACCCAGATACTGCCTGCACCCACCACTGCCTTATAATCTGGCTTCCTCCTAGCCTAGGGGTAAGGTGATCTTGAGTCCAGAATACTGAAAAAGCCCAGGGATTGGAGGATACGATAGAGGGGTTAGAGAAAAAATTAGTTTGGAGGCTGATATGGAAATAAAACTGTAAACCTCAGGGGAGACGGAAATGCCTAGAGAATGGGGTAAGGAGTGGATTTTTCTATGGCAGGAATGGAGAAGGTAAGGAAATGGAGACAAATAGAGAGGTTAGAGAGGAGTTTGTCACTAATTCTCTGAGACTGAAGAGAAGAGAAACTATGTTTACCCCAGGAAGGGTGGAGTGTTTATAGAGAAAAGTGCTGTACTTTGGGAAAGGCAAGAGCAAAGAAAAGGGAATAGTGATAGGGAAACAGATATGTGCAGTTTATAGGTCTGAAGGGTTGCTTGTGTACTGGAGATACATGAAGCCAGTGTTAGAGGGCGAGAAAACACAGTGAAGCCAATGGTCTTAAAGAGCATAGATAAGGCTGACCCTGCTTCCCAAAAGAGGAAGAAACTAACTGCATTGTCTTAGTGCTTCCAGAAAAGTGTTAATAATTTCTATAATAGGCATTTTGTCTTATTATTGGTTTTAATGGGAATGCCAAGTATACTATGTTGGTTTGGAGACCAGCATTTATTGTCACATTAAGTGAGCAGCTTTCTAGTCCTACTAAATGTGTTTGCTTTCAGGAAAAAAATAGAATTTTCAAAATCAAGATGATGGGTTTTGCCAAGCAAGGTCATGCATACTTGTAATCTCAGCTATTTGGGAGGCTGAGGCAGGAGGATTGCAAGTTTGAAGCCAGCCTGGGCAAGGTAGCAAGACACTGTCACAAAATAATATATTTTTAAAAGGGTTAGTCATGCAGTTTAGTGGTAGAGCATTTGCCTAGCATGTGTGAGGCCCTGGGTTCAATTCCCAGAACTGATGAATTAAGATGATCAATTTTCATCACTCGGGCTGGGGATGTGGCTCAAGCGGTAGCGCGCTTGCCTAGCGTGCGTGTGGCCCGGGTTCGATCCTCAGCACCACATACCAACAAAGATGTTGTGTCCGCCGAGAACTAAGAAAAAATAAATAAATATTAAAATTCTCTCTCTCTCTCTGTCCCTCTCACTCTCTCTTTAAAAAAAAAAAATTTCATCACTACATTTTCTGCTTTTGAACCAACTTTATGCTTCTTGAGAAAAACTCCTTTTGGTCATGGAGTATTATATTATTCTGACAGATTTTTATTTGCCAATGGTTTAATATGTTTATACTTATATTAATAAGTGAGACTAACATATAGGACTTTTAGTACTATCTTTGTCAGGTTTGATACTGTGCTTACACTAGGTCCCCAAAATAGATTTGTGAACTTTGTGTTAAATGGAAACATCTATACAGTATTGGAAGTATCTCTTTCTTGACAGCTTGAATGAATAGCCTGTGATAACATCTGGGTAAATTTGGTAACTTTAATAAAGTAACACATATGGGGGTCTGGGTTGTGGCTCAGTGGCACAGCACTTGCCTAACATGTGTAAGGCACTAGATTTGATCCTCAGTACCACATAAAAATAAAAAAAACATTTTTAAAAAAGTTATTGTGTTCATTTACAATTCATTTTTTTAAAAAGTAACACATATGGTACATATTTCAAATTGCAACAAAGGTCACGCGAAGAATGAGCCTCTCAGCCATACATAGGACTGATCTCCCTGTGAAAGTCAACCCATCCCTTATTGCTAGACCCTTGGTTTCTTTTTTTTTTTCATTTGTTCTTTTTAGGTACACATGACAGTAGAATGTATTTTACATATGATACATATATGGAGTACAACTTCCCATTCTTTGGATTGTACATGATGTGTAATTACATTGGTCTTGTATTCCTATGTGAACATAGGAAAGTAATATCCCATTCATTCTACTATCTTTCCTATTTCCATCCCCCCATCCTTCCCTTCATTCCCCTTTGTCTAATCCAAAGTATACTTCATTATCCATTAACCTGCAAATGCCATAATTTCATTGTTCTTTATGGCTGAGTAATATTCCATTGTATACATATACCATATTTTCTTTTTTAAAAAATTATTTTTAGTTGTAGACGGACACAATACCTTTATTTTTATTTATTTATTTTTATGTGGTGCTGAGGATTGAACCCAGTGCCTCACACATGCTAGGCAAGTGCTCTACCCCAGCCCCCACACTTTCTTTATCCATTCATCTGTTGTAGGACACTTAGGTTGGTTCCATAGTTTAGCTATTGTGAATTGAGTTGCTATAAACATTGATGTGGCTGTGTCATGGTAGTATGTTGATTTTTAAATCCTTTGGGAATATACTGAGGAGTGGGATAACTGCAGACACTTGGTTTCTTGTGCAACCAGATACCACTTTCTTGGGTAGCCTTCTGTAGTAGTTTATGAATATTTAGAAATATAAATATACGTATGTATTCATATTTATATAAAAATATATATGTGTATGTATTTATATTTCCATTTCCCTACTTTTAACCCAGATGGTAGTATACTAACAAACTGTTTTGCATCTTTTCATATACTTAATTTTTTTCTTCCAAAATTTTGCTCTAATTACTTTCTTTAAGTCAATTTTGACTATTCATTTAGGAAACTATTTCCTCAGTATTTTCCAATTACTTTTTTAGAATTGTACATTTACTTTGTCTTGAAATACAGAACAAGCAACAAAATTTTCTATACCTATTGGCTTAATTATTAATCCTGCTTCACAAAGTTTCTAAGCAATATTGGGCAAGTCATGACAGTTCTTCTGTGGATGTCCATGATATGAAAGAAAGGAATGACTTTAAGGTACATTAAAGAATACTGAGCCAAGAGAGGTGGGACACACCTGTAATCCAAGCTACTTGGTTGAGGCAGGAGAATCACAAATATGTGGCTAGCCTTGTCAAGTTAGGGAGACCCAAAGGAAAACAACTACTTAGTTTAGAAATTTTGCAATATCCATTTGCAACTAAAAACATATATGAATTCCTATTTTAGGAGTTTTTCACTATTCTACCCCCTTCTTTCATAACCTTCCTTCCTGCTTTTCGTCAATGTGTGACAATCAACCAAGTATCCTATCAGTTAAATGAAGAAATGAGCATTGATTGTCTGGAATCAGGTAACCTGAACACTGGCTTAACACTGTTTTTTTGGTTTTTTTTAGTTGCCTGTTTTCCTCTTAACAGCATTATTAAGACCATCTTGAACGAGTGGTTAAGAGGTCAAAAGATAAGGTTGGTGTAGAAGTTGAGGGCTTGTGGTTAGGGAAAGAACTAATTTGGGAGGTTGGCAAGGAAATAGGAAGGGTTATCAATGGCTTCAGAGAAGTAGGAAGGAACTTGGGGATAGGATTATAAGTGGGGGGGGGAATGGGGAGGGAGTGGGGGAAGGGTGGATGGGGTAGAAGGACATCCCTGGGGTTGAGCCAGTTGTACACGCTATTCTCGTGAAATTTTAAAAGTTTTCATATGTACTACCCTAAATTTTAATATCACTTGCACTAGTATTTATGTAAGTACTGGATTTGTGCTTGGTCTGAAAAAGAATTACTGTAACAATATCTAAAACAATATGATAACCACAACCCCCCCTCCTCAAAAAAAAAACTCACTCCATTAGTTTGGGAGGTTTTTTTTCCTTCCACATTTCACATTTTTCCTCCTAAAATTCACTATTTGGGTGCCTTCCTGGATTGCTCAGCAAAAAAATACAAAGCAATTTCACATCACATGTCGTACTCTGTTGGTCAAATGCTTAAACTGGTAAACACTCCTCCTAAGGGCATCTAAGTATCCTTAAAAAAAAAAAAAAAAAAAAAAAACTACGTCAACAATGTCTATATTGTCCTACCTCATTTTAGCCACAGGCCAAGGTGTACCGAGGCAAACCAGAGTCAGAAACACCTACACAGCCCAAGGATGAGGTATGTGAAAGAGTTGAGATGTGCAGGGTTTTATTGTATTTTTTAAGTTGAATCTCACAGTAGTCACCGTCTTTTAGACTGAGAACATGTTCACTACTTGCTCCAAATAGTGGAATTTAAAAGTTTGCCCAATGAAGCCCCCCGGGGGGGTGAGGGAGAAAAGTAATTTTGGAGGGTAGGCAGAGTCGGTAAAGATTTGGAAAAGTCGAGGCCCTAGGAGGCGGCTTGGCAGCAGGACGAGAAGCGCTGGGAATCAGCGGGGCAGGGGCAGCGGTGGAGGGAGCTGTCCGGGAAGGGATGATGTCTGCATTTGGGAGCATGAAAACTTTGAAGTTGCTAGGTGGCCGCGGTGGGGTGGGGGAGGGAACAGGCCTTTCCCAAGAAGCGCCGTGCTCGGTGGACTGGCGTGGGAACCACCTCCGGAGAAGGGGAAACGGGTGCGTGGAAACCGGTGGGGTCGAGGAGTGCGTCCAGGTCCGGAGGCGGAAGGAGCCATTTGAGATTCAGGTTTGAGTGTTAAAGAGGTCGAGTGCGTAGTGGGACCCGTGACTCCGAAGAAGCGAGGCGACTGCGGAGCTCTCTGCCCCACGCCCCCAGGACAAGGGAGAGCAAACGGTCCGGACCGCTGATCTGGGTCACCAGCCGTTACCAGGCGCCTTTTAGTGACGCCGCCTCCACGCGACGACGCTCTGACGGGGAGCGGCCTCCACGTCTCAGGTTCCGCAAAGGCCTGTGGGAGCGACCCGGCCGAAGGAGGGCCGTCATGGCGGAAGCGGCGGAGTCTCCTGGAGACCCGGGGACGACGTCGCCCAGGCCCCTGGTGAGCTGGGGAATTGCGACATAAAAGGGACCGTGGGTGAGGCAGAGTGCCCCCTAAGAAGTCGGGGGATGGGCTCAAGGCCTGAGATAGCCGCAGCCCCTTCTCCCGGCAGGCGTTTGCTGTACCCAATACTAGAACCAGCCTCGACACCGCACCTGTTCCTTGGGCTAAGGAGTTTTCCCCTGCCCTCTTCGTTTCTTCCATCTCTTCTTCAAACTCCCCCCCACCCTGGTTCCTTTCCCATACTCTCAGGAGTCGTCCTCTGTCTCCTACATTGTGTTAAATGCTGAGCCTAAGTTGATTTCTTCCACTCTCCCCTGATTTTATCAAGACCTGTCATAAGCCCTTGTTGGAATAGTAGCATTCTAGAATAGAAATGAGAGATTACTTTTCATGGGACGTGAACATCCTATTGCTTATAATTTGAGTCTTTACTTGTTTAGTGACCCACGTAGGCTAGGTTTAATCCCATCTCCTTGCCATCCTCTTCAGGATACTCTTGCTGCTCTGTCTATAGGGGATAGACTTTCTATTCCAAGTACAAGCCCAAAGCTGCTACTATTTTTTTTAAAAAAATTATTTCTTACATACATGACAATAGTGGAGTGCCTTACATTCATAATTATCCATTCACAGCACAATTTTTCATAACTCTGTATATAAAGTATGTTCACGCCAAATTATGCCATTATACATGAGCTCTCTTATTTTTTTTTTAACATACAATTCCAAAGCTGCTACTATTTAAGAATACAAGCCTTGCAGTTACTTACCTAGGCTTCATTCCATCCACTCTGCTGCTTGTGTGAATTTGGGCAAGTCCTTTCAGGGAGGATTTTCCTTTGTTAAGTGGAGATGAAAATATCTGCCTCAAAAGTTGTTAAGATGATAAAATAACATAGTTATTTAGAGTGTTTAATACAATCAGTGTCTTGAACTGCAGCATTTAATTAAATCAACTTTCTACCCCATGTCTTTTCTCCCAGTGTTCATTTATTTGCTCAATAAATGGCATCTCCATTTCTCTCTTAAATTGGCAACTTAGTATAGTGAAGAACTGTACTGGGATTCAAGTGAATTTGATTCTAGTCCTGGCTCTGTTGCTTACTAGCTCTAGTTGCTCATCTCTTCCTTCATCTCATTTGTTCATCTCTTGCAATATTTATTGAGCATCAGTCATGTTCCAGACACACTTTCAGGAATTGGGGACATAACGATGAAAAGTAAGTTGGGGCTAGGTTTGTGGCTCACTGGTACTGCATTTATCTAGCATGTGCAACACCCTGGGTTCAATCCCCAACAATTCACACACACACACAAAAAAAATGAGTTGGGCAAGTTCTGATGGAGCAGTTGTGACCTTGAGTAAAGTCACTCTGAACCTGTTTCCTCAATTGTAAATTGGCAATAGATACTCATCACAGGATTACCGAGAGGACTAAATGAGCTAATATACACATAGTACCTACCATGAAGAAGTTAGAGCTGTTTAGCTGTTTCCAGTTCCTTTAATCCAAACTGCCCCCGCTCTTTTTCTGTGAAACTATCCCCAATTAATGTCAGTGGTTCTGATCACTCATTTCTCAGTATCAAATCTACTTCTGGTCAACAAATGCTTATTGAACTCCCATGATGTTTAATGCACTGTGCTTGTTGACTCAGGGAATCTGAAGGGCTTGCCCCTATGGTTGCTTATAGTCTAATTTGTAGGGGGGGATAACAAATATACAATGCTAAGATAAGGGAGTATGTAAGAGTAAATCACACATTAAAATATTAGTGAAATTTAAGAGAAGATACTCATGTTCATTTGGGGTAACCAAGCAAGCTACATGATAGAAGATGTATTTGAGAGGCCCTCAAAGGATGGATAGGATTTGAAATTCCAGCTAAGCATAGGAATTATTAGTGATTGAGCACCTGCTAGGTGGCAGGCATTGTGCTAAACATCTGCATGTTTTCTAAATTTCACAGGAACCATTTTAATTAGGTGGCGTTTAACTTCATTTTATATATGGGTGAGGAAACGAAACAGAGAGGTTTAATTTCCCTAGGATCTACATCCTGTTAGTGGCCAGTTCTGAAATCTGAACCTAGGTATGACTCTGAAACCCAGACCATTTCCAGTTATGCTACACAGGCTTTTCTAGACAAAGGCACAGAGGTAGGTGCCAAGATACTTTTGGGGGAGGTTAACTAGGGATTAAACTCAGAGATGCTTTTCCACTGAGCTACATTCCCAGCCTTTTTTATTTTTTACTTTGAGACAGTCCCTCTAAGTTGCTGAGGCTGGTCTCAAACTTGTGATCCTCTTGTATCAGCCTCCCAAGTTGCTGGGCCACTGTGCTAGGACTGATGTTCTTACAGATCAACATAACTTTGGGTGAAGTGCAGGAAATTACTAGGAGGCAAGACTTAAAAAATAAGCCTACTCAATCAGGGAGGCAGTATGGAATGGTGATTAGGGATGTATTCTCTGAAGTCAGATTGCATAAATCACTATCACTTGGAGAAATTACCAAACCCCTCTATGCTCATTCCCCATCTGTAAAATGGGACTATTGCAGTACTTAGTTCATTGGATTTTAGGTGGGTTAAATAAGTTAAGAAAGTACCTGGTGGCACATAGTAACCATGCAATGTCATTTCTATTTTTTTTTTTTTTTTTGGTTCTGGGGATTGTACCCAGGGCTTTCTACATTTCCTATATGCTAAGCAAGCGCTCTTACCATTGAGCTATACCCCAACCCCTCCTCTTCTTGACTGCTAAGCTGGCAAGTTTGTTAGGCTAAAAAGAGACCATAGAAATTTTTGAGGAGGGAAGGGTTTGAAATCAAGAATTTGACAACATAAAAGGAAATGCCTTATAATGGGGATATGATATCTGCAATCCATCAATGAAGTTGTTGCAGAAAGTTCAGGGAAGGAATAATGGGGAATCTAGTCTACAACAGTGGTGGGGGATTTGAGGATTTGAAAAACAAGGCAGAATCCATGAGGGTCTTTCAAAAATCAGTTTTTCCTACACTTTAACATGCATGTCAGTCATCTGGGGAATCTTGTTAAATTGTAGGTTCTGATTTAGTAGGTCTGGGGTGGGGCCAGAGATTCCGCATTTTTAACAAGTTTCCTGTGATGTGGCTGCTACTGCTGTTCTCAGTGCCACATTTTAAAAACAAGGCTATAGATATCTGAGAGAATAGTGACAACCTGAACAAAAATAAATTACATTTGAAGGTTAGCTGGTTGAGGGCCTTCAACATTGATAATTCAAAGCTGGGCATGACAAAGCCAGGCATGGTGGCACATTACGTATCTGTAATCCCAGCACTCCAGAGGCTGAGGCAAGAGAATCACTCCATCTCAAAAAAAAAGAGTGATTACCTCACTTTTGGATATGTTTAGTTTGACATAAAGGCAGGCCATTTAGTAGATATTCAATAGGCAGTCAGATTTTCAAACCTGCTCATAAGTGCTCAGAAGAGGTCAGGACTTGAGGGTGTGGATCAGTGGTACAACACCTACCTAGCATGTATCAGGCCCTGGATTCCATCCCTAGCATAGGGGAGAAAAGGAGGAGGAGGTCAGGACTAGAACTGTTGATGTGTAAGATTCATTACACAGAGTTGAAAAGACAAAAGTCTTGGGTAATGCCCATCCATAATTAGGGAGCAGGAGAAAGAGCTATAATAATGGCTACAAGCTGGGTCTCTAAGGAAGCTGGCCCAGGTGACAGGGCTGGCTGGAGACTGTGTCATTGAGCTAATTCCTGCTTCATGCTTCCCCCTTGTGGATCCCTTTCTCCCTCACTGGCTCAAGCCAGTCAGTAAAATGCATATGTGTTCTGTACTCAGTGTGTGTATGTGTGTAGGAGCCTGCATTCACATGGGAAAGGTGAGGGTCATGAAGTCCAATCTTTCCTTCCTATTGAGGACTAGTTCAGAGGACAGGATCTCTACTAGCTGAGGGCCTGGTAGTCCTGTTTTTCTTATGAGGCTGCCATAGATCCAGACTCAGCCCATGGAAGAGTTTCACTAATTTTCTTGAGAGGTGATATTTAGGAGAGGTTGGAATGGGAGCTCAGGTGGAGACCCAAGTGGCCCTTTAGTACCACAACTACTTGGAGTTAGGGCAAATGTTACAGGTTAACATTGTTCTTACTTCAGTCACCAGCCACAAGTTTGATGGTTCACAGAACCACCCTCACTTCTAACTGGATACAAATTCAGGGGTTTCCATGATCCCCCCAGGCTCCATAATTCACTAGAATGGCTGACAGAACAGAGGACAGTGCTGCACTTTATGGTTGTATTATAACAAAATGTCGTAAATCCAAACCAGCAAAAGGAAGAGATGCATAAGGTGAAGTTTGGTAAGATCCCAAACACAAAGATTCTTTGTCTTCTCCCTGTGGAGTCAAAACATGTTATCCCCTGCCACGTGACCATATGAAGAGAACTGCCAACCAGGAAAGCTTACCTGTCTTGAGGTTTCATTGGAGTCTCTTTATATAGGCATGATTTATTGGATCATTGGCTACGTAAATGAACTCAATCTCTTGCTCCTCTCCTCCCTCAAAACTTGGGCTTTGATTTTGTGTACTGAAGCCCCAATCCTCTAATCATATATTTGGTCTTTCTGTAGTAGTTGCCTCTTTCCTCAGTCGTCGTCATTTTAGCATAAATTATCTAATAGGGCTGCCATGACTCACTTGTTGGCATAAACTATCAGAGCCCACCATCAGTAACAAAAATACTCCTATCATTTAGGATATTCTATGAGTTTAGAGGCTACATCCCAGAAACAGGACAAAGACCAGCCACTATTTGATAATAGTAAAAGAAGTGGAATTGACTCCCTTGGTAATATTGAGCTAATATTTATCCCCTGCTGTGTGTCTGATACTATGTACTTTATATGGATTAGTACATTTTTCCTTACAACAACCCTATGGTGGTGGTACCATGTCTCAATTTTGCATATGAGGAAACAGTAGCACAGAGAGGTTAAGTAATCTGCTCAATGTCACACAGGAAGTAAACGATGGAGCTGGAATTTGAACCCAAGCTTTTTGGCTCCAGCCAGAATCTTCACCATTATTCTCCAAATAATAGAGTAAACATTGTGTGCTGGGTGTTCTGCAGGTGTTACTTTGATTCTTATGGCAATATTGTTACCAGGTGAGAACAGAGCCCTGTTTGTCCTTAGAATCTGTCCTTCTTGCCAACTGCCCCACCTACCTAGTAATAGCAGGAAGCAAAGACACAAATCAAAAGATCCTAGAGTTTGAAATAATGGTGTCCAATTAGTAAAAAGAGAGAGTATGGCTTTAAAAAAAAAAGAGTGGTTTAGGCCTGGGAATGTAGCTAAGTGGTAGAGCACTCCCCTAGCAGGCACATTGCCCTTGGCTTCCATCCAATGTATTGCAAAAAAAAAAAAAAATTGCATGAAATGCTGCAGAGTATTCAGAGGATGAAAACTGAGAAAGGAACTTTGTATTTCGTTTTCTTCTTTTGGTTTCTCTCAGTACTGGGGATTGAACCCAGGGTCTTGCACATGCTTGGCAAATATGCTACCACTGGACTACAACCCCACCTCAGGATCCTTGGGCCAGCGAGGGAGAAAGGAATCAACAACAAGGGGAAGCATAAAGCAGGGATTAGCGCCCATGTTTCTACCATTCTCTCAAACTACTCTCCATTGCTCTTTCCTGATCCAACTTCTCTTTATTCTCCCACTCAATCCTTTGTAATTAGGCTCCTTTACTGATGCTGCTCTTAATATTGACCTCACACAATTAAGAAATACAAGGGCCTCGTGCATGCTACCCAAGTGCTCTACCACTTAAGCTACGTCCCCAATGAAGTCTTATCTGAGTTCAAATTTCCAGTTACCTCCTAAATCATGTCTTCATAATTTAAAAACTGGCCTCATCAATGCAGTATTTTTTAAAAGGTTATTTTATTTATTTATTTTATGTGGTGCTACCTAGCAATGGTAGGCAAGTGCTCTACAACTGAGCTACAACCACAGCCCCAAATGCAGTTTTTTAATAGAGTGCTAGATATTGTGTATAGAACAGAAGAGATAGCTGAAATTGTCACTGTGGGAATTAGGTCATTCTAGTAAGGAGTTGAATTTTATTTGGGTTTTGTTGCTAAGGGGACCTTCAGAGATTCACCGGTTTCAAATATCATTAATGTTACCTTGGGCTTAGGTTGGTGCTGGGTTTTTCCAGTAGTTTTCTGTTAAAGCATCTTCATTGGTTTTATTTTTGATCCCAGAGTTGAGGAACACTTTATTCCATATAGTAGGAAAAGTGTCCCTTTTTATTGATTTTTCATAACATTCCTGTTGTTCATTCATCTTTCTATCTTTGACTTTGCACCTCAGAATGGGTCTGTCTAAGCTCTGCTCCCTCAGCAGTAGCTGGTTATTACTTGTTACTTGGTGGTGCTGGGGATTCCTTGTCATCAAGATCCAGCCTCCATCTTAGGCAGGTCATGTGTCTCTGGGTTCCCTGAGTGGGACTTTCCCAGTGGTCCTGTCTCTTCCTCAGCTGAAGGAAACTCTAATGGTCTGGGCCCAGGTGGTTTCCTGTCCTCCCTAAGGAATAGAAATTGGTGGAGTACTGTTCTTAGATTGCCAGCTCCTCCCTTCCTTTCCCTACACCAGCCATACTGTTCCCCATCTAGTCTTTCTTGTGAACTCCCAATGGAACTCTGCAAGTGAGTATGAATGCCCCTTGTGTCTGTCACTTCCAGGAGTTCTGTACTTTTTTTTGTGTGTTAACACATACTTGACCTTTAGCAATTCATTTACAATTTTAGCTGAATTCTTACTAATCTGTGTGGTGCCTGATGGCATCATCTTCTCAGGATTTGCTACAGCTGAGCCAGTACTGGTGTCTTGTTTCTTAGAAGCACCTGTTATTCCTCAGATTATACTCAGTTGATCCACAACCTCAGCTCTTTGGGTTTAAGGAACATTATGATTTATAGTTTAATCTAGCTTTTTCCTCCTCATCCTGATGTGGGGGCTTGATCTTTCCAGCTTTCTATATTCTAGTCAGAAGTCAAGTTACAGTATTATGTAGTCACTTGAAATAGTTGTTCTCTGTGTGGTTGTGTATTTAATTCAGTATAGAGTAGGTTTACTTGTTCAATCTTTCCCTTAGTTTCTCTTTTTAAAATATTTTAGCTGTAGATGGACACAATAACTTTATTTTATTTATTTATTAATTAATTATGTGGTAATGAGGATCAAACCCAGTGCCTCACACAATGCAGGCAAGCGCTTCACCACTGATGCTACAACCCCAGACCTCACTTAGTTCAGAGATCACTTCATTTAAATTTTAATTTTGTTTTATCATTACGTGAACTAAATGATTTCAAGTCATACACAGAAAACAGCAAATATTTAAAGGGATCTGACTGTTTTTCATTTCTGCTCTACTATGAAATTTCCTCCTTTCCTCTATAGGAAACCTTAAAAATAGTTTATTCCTTATTTTTTTAAAGAAAACATTCTAAGTGTATTTGATAAGTTGCTTGTCTTTTGTATCCACTGGACCAAAAACTATATAAAATGGGATTGCTTCATTTTTCTTAGGAATTTGTTGATTTCAGAGTTTTGGTCATAAGAATTGAATGTGGCAGATGAACATAAGAACTCAAAATTTCAAATTCTTTATTCATTTTGAAAATTTTACCTGATCTGTGGTTGCCAGGTAAACTGGTAAAAACAATATTCATAGTTGTTTTTTTACTGTTCTTCCCAGTTCACTTTCCATTTCATGTAATGCTTTTTCTTAGCCAGAAGAGGCCGCTAAAGCCCTTAGAGCAGAAGTGCAATAGAAATGTGGCCATTTCAACAGGAGATTGCTAGATCACTTTTTAATAGCTCTGCAGTTATCATCTCAACCATGCTAGTTTCTGTCATGTAGAGATTTCATACTTGAAAGAAACTAAATATTGGAGGGCAAGATAGTGTCTCTGGCATTTACTTTCAATATTTGTTTTATTATATTACATCTCCTTTGAAAAGAAGTGTATGATAATTAGAGATAACTGCATTACTTAATGTCTGTTGAACTAACTCCCATTGTAACTACTGGGCAAAACCCTTATAAAAGACATGGTTCCTCGTAAAGGAAATGATGATGTCTTTGAGGAATTCTGCAGTTTACTATAGGCTTAATTTTCTCCCCCAACTCTTCTCAGTTTGCAGGCCTTTCAGATATTTCCATCTCACAAGACATCCCAATAGAAGGAGAAATCACTATTCCTGTGAGATCTCGCAGTCGAGAATCAGACAGCTCCACATTAAATGAATCTGTTCGGAACACTATTGTAAGTTAGATGACATGGGAGAATATCTCTTCAGCATCATGGGACTAAATAACTAACAGTACTTTGTAATATTTTGTTTAATTCATTGACTTTTGGTGTATTTTATTTATTGAAATTTAAAGATTCTCCCCTAGGGAATCATTTAATATAGTCTTTTTGGAGAACAGTTTGGCTGTAATGGGTATAAGAATCTTAAAATGTCCAAATCTTTTGAAACCAATAATTCTGCTTCACTAAATATAGTATATAGTCTAATGAAAAATAAAACAAAGATTTTTGACAGAAACATTCAATATGCAAAGATGTCCATTTTAGCATTTTTATAATAAAGGAAATTTGGAAACATCTTCAATGAACAACAAGATGGGATATTGGTTAAGTAAATAATTTTAGTAAAATGCCAAACAATTAAAAATTGAAGACTAAGGTGGAATTATCTCCACTGTATTTTGAGAGATTATATTTGCATTACTGAATGAGCTCAAATGTCTTGATTTATTCATTTATCAGGTAAAGTGTGAATGTAAAAACTTTATTTATATTCAGTAGGTAGGGAGCTGGCTAAATGGCCCTTGGGACTGAATCATGTATAAACCAAATGTCACATGCTGTGGTTTTTAGTTTCTTTAAATTAAGTAGCATATCAGGAGGACTTTGTTTCTCATTTACAGAATTTTCAAAATCAAAGTAGAACTGGTAGATGTGGAATAAGTGTTAGATGTTTGCTTAAGGAGCTAATAGAAAAATCATGTCCTACTTCTCCAAGTTGTTCAAAGAAATGAAGGAGTCAAACTAGAAGTAGCTGCACAATTCAATGAAGAGTTTGGAGGAGACTGAAAGAGTAGAAACAGTAAATTAAGTGAGGGAGCTGCCTTGGTCATCATAATATGAGTTGTTTCTGTCTTTCAGATGCGTGATCTAAAAGCTGTTGGGAAAAAATTCATGCATGTTTTATATCCAAGGAAAAGTAATACTCTTTTGAGAGATTGTAAGTATGTGGTTTTTTTAAAAATATTAATTTTTCTTTAGTTGTAGTTGGACACAATATCTTTTATTTATTTATTTATTTATTACACAATATCTTTATTTTGTTTATTTATTTTTATATGGTGCTGAGGATTGAACCCAGAGCCTCACATGTGCGAGTCAAGTGCTCTGCAACTGAGCCACAACCCCAGCCCAATTTTATTTATTTTTTATGTGGTGCTGAGGATTGAACCCAGGGCCTCGAATGTGCTAGGCAAGCGAGCGCTCTACCGCTGAGCCACAATCCCAGCCCAAGTATGTGGTTTTTGAGGATTTACTTTAGTTATAGAATGCTGGAATGTGTCTTAGTAGATGGGGAGAATAGTGACTTGCAAGGTAATGAAGTGAACGAAACAAAGGATATGGGCATAACTGCATTTAGAATTGAGGAGCAGGAAACATAAGTAGAGGGACAGAGAGGTGGGTGGGTCTAGGCAGACAGAACGCCTTGCTGTCTGAATCCCAAGTGTGGGGGAAATAGATATTGGAATAAAGATGGAAAATACTACATATTATTTTTTTAGTAATCTTCTGTCTTTCCTTGCCTTATAGGGGACTTGTGGGGACCTTTGATCCTTTGTGTGACACTGGCATTGTAAGTACTTACATTTCCTTTTTTTGTAATTTGAGCTAGACTAGACTTTTTTGGTGGAGTTTCAAAATTATGGGGGGATTTTGACAGAATGGTTCATTTAGGATTTCTATAGCTTTTCTATAGCTTATAGAACTCCTTATATATTTAACCCTAAAAAGTGAAGAAACTTTGCAAATCAATTAAAAATGATGGAATTAAAGGTATGAAAATTATGCCCACTTCATTGACCAATGACTTCTTAGTTTATTTTAGCCATGTCTATTTACCACATATCTATTACTTTCATGTGCCTCCCTATCATTGAAGCAAGGGAATAAAATATCTATAGATTTAAGCATTGTTTGCAAACAAATATTTTTTTTTTAAATTTTATTAGAAATGTGAATGAGAATAAGAATAGAAGTGGTAGAGTTGAAAACAAGATCATGTTTCAGACTGTTATGTGTTCCTATATATGGTGTATATAAAGAAGGAGGACTGAAGGAGGAGAGAAAGGTTCCATTGTAGAGGGGAATGTAGCCATTGATAGAGTGGAAAAAATAGTTCACTAGGATTCAATTCTGGGTCATCATCCTTACTCTCTTATTGCTAGCTGTATATACCTTCTCTTATTTTATTCTTATAATGAGAACTTGGGTTTCTTTTTTTTTTAAATTTATTTATTTTTTATTATTTCTTACATACATCACAATAGAGGAGTGCATTACATTCACAATTTTTTTGCATGCAATTCTTAATACACCTTTATACCACAATTTATCAAATCTCTGTTTGTATATAAGGTATGTTGACACCAAATTCACATCTTCATACATGAATTTTGTATAATGATGACCGTCTGGGTTTATTTTCAATTTTGACAAATAAGCTCAGGTTCACAGAGATTGCGGATTTAACCAAAATCACAACCTCAGGTTTCCTGACTGGTTTATTCTCTGCTTCTATAATTATTACAACTCTTACCACCTAGCCACTCTGGGTCTCTTCTTCTGAATTTGTAAAAGGATTTATTTTGGCAGGCATAACCCTTTATGATTCTAACAAATTCCTTATTGGCTTCTCTACTGAATTTTTTTTGGGCTGTATTGGGGATTAAACCTGGAGGACTTGGGCATGGTAGACAAGTGTTCTACCAACTGATCTATACACCTACCCCCTAATTTTTTTTAACATAAATGAGAATAATGCTAATTCACACCATAATTTTGTTAATTCTTATGCCTTTTTAAAGGGATTGAACCCAGTAGCACTCCACCACTCAGTATATTTCCAGCCCTTTTATTTTATTTTTTATTTTGAGAAGAGGGTCTTACTAAGTTGCTGAGGCTGGCATCAGACATGCTATACTTCTCCCTCAAACTCCTGACTCACTGAGATTTGAAGCATGCATCTGACTTATCTTTTTTTTTTTTACTTGTTGATAGTCCTTTATTTTATTTATTTATTTTTATATGGTGCTGAAGATCGAACTCAGTGCCTCACACATGCTAGGCAAGCACTCTACCACTGAGCACCACAACCCCAGCCCCTGACTTATTTTTTATGCCTCTAAAAACCATATCACAGGTATCATTTCTGTAATTTGATGGAAGGGTTTATATTGTACACATACACACACATTTTGAAACCTTTCTTAGATATGATATAGATTAACCCCACTTATTTACAGAGAAAACTGGAGTCCCAAGACATTGAGTGCCTTATCTAATGACAGAAACAGGATCATTATCTGGCTCTTCAGCCTTCCAGACTAGTTAATATTCTTTCCATCATACCATGCTAAAGTAGTCAGAATTCCAGACAACAAATGATGAGTGCCAGCACATTCTTTGCATCTGATTGTCAGGACTTGGAATGGAATATGCACAGCCATAGCTACAAAACCCTGCACATACTGGCACGTAGCATAGCCTGGCAAGACTTACTGTGCGACTTCTCTATACTGTGTAATAAGAAGAGGTTATGAACACACTGTTTTTCTGGAAAAAATAACACCATGTTCAAGTATTCTAAGTTCAGAATTCAAAACTTTTTCTATCTGTAAAATTCATACACAAAGAAATGATATTTAAGTGACTCTTCAATTACTCAGTTCAAAGTAAAGTATATTAATGATCTGTACGTTTTGAGTAAAACAATCTACAACTTAGCTGGGGATATAGCTCAGTAGTAGAGCACTTGTCTAGTGTGCACAAGTTTATAAAATGACTTTCCCTGTTCACAAGAAAACTTTTAAATATTTCTCTTATTTTATCCTCATAATAAGAACTCAGTAGTGTTTTCTATTTTGACAGAAAATCTCAGGTTGTTAGTGCAGGTTAACTTAGATGGTAAGTACAAGTTAACATGGTTTAGTGTAACATGCATGTTACACACATACAAAATCAATACCTAAATAGATTTATAGACTATTTCTGTTTTTAAGAATCTGAACTAAAACCTTAACCAAAGAATTACAAATACAGATGGGTCCAATGGTGCCACAGAGTGAGCGAAGAAGTATAGAAGTAACCTAAATACACATAGTGGTGATCTGGCTCTTGTTGCTATGACAGTTGTGCCTGATTGTTGCTGTATTGGATTACAGGCCCAGTGTGAGAAAGTCTTTTTTGACTTTTCAAGAAAATCCAGAAATGTCTTTTATTTATTTTCATCTTTTTTGCTACTCTACATTAAACACAGGGCCTGCACATAATTAATCAGGACTACTGAATTTCCCCATGTTGACTTCTCTCTGTGTGTGTGTGTGTGTGTGTGTGTGTGTAGGTAGGTAGGTATGTATGGTGCTGAGGATCAAACCCAGGGCTCATGGATGTTATTTAGGCAAGCACTCTACCAGCCTCAGAAGTAAATATGTGAAACCTCCAGATTTTAAAACAAATTCAAATTTAAAACTATTTTAAGTATTGTATGAACTACAAACTTCAAGTCTGTTAGCCACATTTGGCCTTTCAGTTTATAACCTCTGCTTGAACAAAAAAGTCTACAGTAATTAATTTAAATATTCCAGCAAGGTCAAATGGAGAACCCCATATAGTCCTGCAGCATTTGGAATTTGAAGTAAGGGATCCTTGCCAGATACTTTTTGCATTTTCTTTTCAGCACATCCTACATATTACCGATGTTCAGATGAGGTATAGCACAGCAATCCAGTTCAAAATTTGATAACCCATACTTTAACTTTGTTGCTCTAAGTTAAAGATCAGGCAATTCTCATGTTTTCTTGTCTCAGGATGCTGCAAAGAGGTTCTGTGGACGGTGAAAAAGATGGAGGGCCCCAGTTTGCAGAAGTATTTGTCATTGTTTGGTTTGGTGCGGTTACCATCACCCTCAACTCAAAACTTCTTGGAGGAAACATGTGAGTATCATTAAAATATACCACTTTTCCCTTGCAAGGTAACCTGTCTTAGATTTTAAGGAAGTTGGCCTATTTAGATTTTTTTTAAAAAGAAAAACTGATATAAAGCTGAGCTTAGTGGTGAATGCTTGTAATTCCAGCAACTCAGGGCTAAGGCAGGAGTTCAAGGTCAGCCTAGGAAACTTAATGACACCCTGTCTCAAAAGAAAAGACAAGACAAATCAAAGTTAATGAGGAACAAAGAAAAAGTTATCTTAAAACCACTAAGTAGGGGCTGGGAATGTAGCTCAATGGTAGAGTGCTTGCCTAGCATGTGCAAGGCCCAGTATTTAATCCATAGCACCACCAAAAAGAAAAATGAAAAACACTGAGCAGATATAACCTAGCTCAATTAAATTAACTTTAATTATGTGGGGTCCTTTGATAAATTTCAGATGTTATCTTAAATTATTTGGGATCCTTTCATAAGCTTTAGATGTTTTCACCAGTCCCTAAAATCACAGGCAGGATTTGTGTGTGTGTGTATTAAAAAATTATATACATTGTGGGAAACAGATGGGCCATAGCTTTCAACAAATTATCAAGTCAGTCTGTAACTAGAAGGATTAAGGACCACCATCTTAGAGGTTCAGTGGAGGAAAGAGATCTCGAGGAATTAGAGTAGATCATCTGGTATTAGAAAGTTGAATCTTAAGAGGCTTAAGAGGGGAGGAGGGAGGAATATGGGGAAAGAAGCTGAAAATGTGTGGTAATAGAGAGGACTAACCTTATAAAATTAATGTTAGGGTGTAGGTATAATATATCAAGGAGGAAGCAGCAGTCCATAATATACAGAGAGTTATGTAATAAGTTGTGTCATGTTACCATTCAGCTATATTTATGATCTTTGTGGATGTATGTTGTGTTTAGATCTTTTTTTCAGAGCCTCTGTGTGCTGGGTTACTGTATACTTCCCTTGACTGTGGCAATGCTGGTTTGCCGCCTGGTACTATTGGCAGATCCAGGACCAGTCAACTTCATGGTTCGGCTTTTTGTGGTGATCGTGATGTTTGTCTGGTCTATAGTGGGTAAGTGTGTGCTTTTCTCTATAGTAGCAGAATAGACCAAAACTTGAGTTACAGATGAGGAGCAGTGAAACTCCAAAGTCAGATATGAATGATATGATTTTTGCCAGTATCATCTGTAGAACCCTTTGCTCTAAGCAAGCATCAATGGGGATGGTGTCTGTTATCTGAGTTGATTATCTGGACTTATGTAGAGTCACATGTCTTTTTTTTTTCACTTAAATAATGTGCAAGATTGTGAAAGTAGTTTATACTATGTTCAGTTCAGCACTGGTATGTAACAGGAATAAGTGACTTGGGAAATGACATGGACCTTTTCTCAACAAAAGTAATAGCACTTATAGACTGCTCATTAGGCCAGGCACAGCACATTATTTTATATGTATTTCCTCCTTTAACCTGCATAGCAACACTAATGGACAAATAACTATTGTTAGTCCAATGTTACAGATGAGGCATAGTCACAGAGAGGTTAAACACCTACCCTAGGAACTCAGAACTAGTGAGTAGCAGAGTCAAGATTCAAACCCAAGCAGATAACACAGCTGTAGAATTATACTGTACCACCTTATGGTACAGGTTGTATGTATCATTGTGTACAGTATGAGATCCCTTATCTGAAGTACTTGGGACCACAAGAGTTTCATATTTGCAATTTGTTTTTTAGATTTTTGGCACATTTGCATATACATAATGAGATATCTTGGAAATAGGATTAAAATATAAATATGAAATTCATTTATGTTTCATATACATCTTATCCACATAGATTAAAAGTAATTGTATACAATCTTTTTTGTATATCTGTTTTTTGGGGGAGGAGTACTGTGGATTGAACTCAGGGATATTTGACCACTGAGCTATATCTCTAGCCCTTTTTAAATTTTTTTTTTTAATTTTGAGACAGGGTCTGAGTTGCTTAGGGCCTTGCTAAGTTGCTGAGGTTAACCTCAAACTTGCTATCCTCCAGTCAGTCCCTTAAATTGCTGGGATTATAGTTGTATGCCATCATGCCTGGCTAGTATACCTGCATTTTAAAAAATTTTGTTTCTTCTTTTTAGTTATACATGATAGAAAAATATATTTTGGAATATTATACATAAATTAAGTATAACTTCCCATTCTGTGGTTGTACATGATGTGGAGTTACATTGATCCATGTATTCATATATGAACATAGGAAAGTTATGTCTGATTCATTGTACTGTCTTTTCTACTTCCATCCCTCCTCCCTTCCCTTCATTCTCCTTTGTCTAATCCAGTGAACTTCTATTCTTCCCTGTGTTAGAATCCACATATCAGAAAGAACATTTGGCCTTTGTTTTTTGGGGATTGGCTTATTTCACTTAGCATGATATTCTCCATTTTACTGGCAAATGCCATAATTTTATTGTTCTTCATGGCTAAGTAATAGTCCATTGTGTATATACACCACATTTGCTTTACCCATTCATCTGTTGCAGAGCACCTAGGTTTTGTTCCATAGCTTAGCTATTGTGAATTGACCTGCTATAAACATTGATGTGTCTGCATCACTGTAGTATACTGATTTTAAATCCTTTGGGTATAGACCAAGGAGCGGGATAAGTAGGTCCAATGGTGGTACCATTCCAAATTTATAAGGACTCTCCATACTGTTTTCTAGAGTGGTTGCATCAATTTGCAGTCCCACCAGCAATGTATGAAATGTACCTTTTTAACCACATTATCACCAACATTTATTGTTACTTTTTTTCTTGATAATTGCCATTCTGACTGCAGTTAGATGAAATCTCAGTGTAATTTTAATTTGCATTTCTCTAAATGCTAGAGATATTGAACATTTTTATATATATTTTTGACCAATCATATTTCTTCTGTGAAGTGCGTGTTCAGTTCCTTTGCCCATTTATTGATTTTTTTTTGTATTAAGATATTTGAGTGCTTTATATATCCTGGAGATTAATGCTATATCCAAGGTACAGGTGGCAAAGATTTTCTCCCACCTGTAGGTTCTCTCTTCACATTCTTGATTGTTTCCTTTGCTGTGAAGAACCTTTTTAGTTTGCTACCATCTCATTTATTGATTCTTGATTTTACTTCTTAATGCTTTAGGAGTATTATTGAAGAATTCAGTTCCTAAGCCAATATGATGAAAATTGGGCCTGCTTTTTCTTCTATTAGGCACAGGGACTCTGGTCTAATGCCTAGATCCTTGATCCACTTTTGAGTTGAGTTTTGTGCAGGATGAGAGATAGCAGTTTAATTTCATTTTGCTACATACAGATTTCCATTTTTCCAGCACCATTTGTTGAAGAGGCTATCTTTTTCTCCAGTATATGTTTATGGTTCCTTTTTCTAATATGAGATAACTATGTATGTGGGTTTGTCTCTGTCTTCTATTCTGTACCACTGGTCTTCAGGTCTATTTTAGTGCCAACCCCATGCTGTTTTTATTATTATAGCTCTGTAGTATAATTTGATGTCTGGTATTGTGATGCCTCCTGCTTCAGGTTTTTCAATGAGTATTGCTTTAACTATTCTGGGCCTGTTATTTTTCCAAATGAATTTCATAACTGCTTTTTCTATTTCTATGAAGAATGTCATTAGAATTGTAATAGGAATTACATGGAATCTGCATACTACTTTTGGTAATATAGCCATTTTGACAATATTGATTCTGCCTATCCACAAATATGGGAGAACTTGATATCTTCTAGGGTCTTTTTCAATTTCTTTCTTTAGTGTTCTGTACTTTTCATTGAAGAGGTCTTTCACCTGTTTTTAGTATACCTGTTTCAACACTGACCTGTGCCATGAAGTCAGATGTGTAATTTTCCACTCATATCAACATATCAGCATTCAAAAATTTTGGACTGTGGAGCATTTCAGGTTTCCAGATTAGAAATCTTAAAAAAGTACTGTAGTGGCTAGACACGATGGAGCATGCCTGTAATCTCAGCAAATCGAGATGCCAAGGCAGGTGGATTGCAAGTTCACAGCCAGCCTCAGCAATTTAGCAAGACCCTAAGCAACTTAGTGTGACCCTGTCTCAAAAAATAAAAAGGGCTGGGAAGGTGGCTCAGTTGTGAAGATCCCCTGGATTCAATTCCTGGTTACACTCCCCCACCTTAGGAAAAAACAACAACAGTACCCGTAGTACTTTCCTGCTTCAGTAGAAAGTTTAGGAAAGACATGGCAATGGCAGTGAACACTATGCCCATTGTTTTTACATTCCTAAAATTTTCTTTAAATTCCAGCTTAAACTAGAAGTGTTCACTAGCTTCTGATTTAATAGCATAAACAGATTACCTAATGTTTTTAAATACAGTAATATCTCATTACTTGGAACACGGTTGATAAGAAAAACCTTTTGAGAGAGCTATAATTGATGTTCCAAAGAAGGTGTTTAAAAGCTTGGGTGCTTTATCCATGGGAAAGCCCTTTTCCCTCAGAGTTAACTATACAAGTAGTTCTAACTAGCTTATATATTCAGTGTCCAGGCCCACATCAGATAAGAAGATAGAATTTTAGGAGAGAGAGACTTGAATTTTGCAAGAATAATAATCACAAACTTATTGTTAGGCCCTGTGCTGGCATGGCCCTTGTTCAGTCAGGTGGAGCAGCAGACACAAAAATACACAAGGGCAGTAGTGTTCCATGTGGGAAATGGACATCTATTCAGGGTACAGTGAGAACCCCAAAGAGAGAGGTGAGCAGTTTTCCTTAGATGACAGGGTACCAAGTGATTCAGGAAAGATTTCCTAGAGGTCTTATCCTTGATGAATAGAAAGATGAGTGAGACTTTTCTTGGGTGAACAGAGAGATGGCATTTAAAAGTGCTAATGATGTAAAAAGACCAATGGACCTAAAATCTGTAACAGTAAGAGGGTATTCACCATGGGAGCAAATAACCTCACATGTCTTTTGTAATTGTTCAACACAGTTCACTAACTTTTCAAAAAGGTTTTAAGAAACCTCCTTTAGACAGTTTTCTCTTCAAAATGGTCAAAATATTTAAAGCTTTAGAACTTGAAACAAGAAGCCCTAAGCTCTCTGAGGTTATCAAATCTAAGTGAGCTTTTTTTTCCCCCTTTGGTGCTGGGAATCAAACCCAGGACCTTGCACATGCTAAGCACATACTCTTTCATTGAGCTACACCCCTAGGCCACATAAGAAATTTATAGTGTGATTCTCTGTGGGTCACAGATATAACTGAACTTTTAATTTTATGTTCCAGATTATGCCATGCCTATTGAAGTTTAGTAAATATTAATAGTTGTGATAAAATTATTGTATTAAATATTCCTTTTTGTTTGGTTTTGTTTAGCCTCTACAGCTTTTCTTGCTGATAGCCAACCTCCAAACCGCAAGGCCCTTGCTGTGTATCCTGTTTTCCTGTTTTACTTTGTCATTAGTTGGATGATTCTCACCTTCACTCCTCAGTAAATCAGGAGACAGAAAATTGAAACCAGTGAATTCAAGGCTCACCTGAAAGATACAATTCACCATGGAACTTTGACACTAACCCTCTTTTGTCCAGTTTTGGAGGTGGTATTAAAAGGGAGCCGTGCAGCACTGTGGTCACTTATGTAAGGAACTGATGTTTGTAAGGCTGTCTTTTCCTCTTAATGTTTATTTCAAATACATGTGCATACTACACATAGTATGATGCCTCCTTAAGGCATGATGGGGTCACTGTGGTCTATTTGGGTGATAACCAATGACTGGGGAAACACATGGATACATCCTACGAGTTGAATAGAGTTGGTGACTATTTTTAGCTTTGAGAATTCCAGTTCAGGTGCAGTTCTTAAACACATTGCCTTATGACTATTAGAATATGCCTCTCTTTCATAAAGAAGAATAGATAGTCTATATCCATCTTCTTTTTTTTCCTCTCTCTCTCCAGCTTAAAAAAGCAATGACAGAGGTTAGGAAGGGGGTTTATAGATGTGGGAGGAGAAAATGTGCATTAACCCAATGTTCAGATTTTGAGCAAAGGAAATTCTACACAAGTTGCTTTAAAAAAGGAACAGAGTATAGGGAAAAAAATCAACCTCTTTTGGTTTTTCATATAGTCACCTTTCTGTCATGCTTAACAGCATCTCAGTTGGCACTCTAGTTTTTAATCTTGCTCTCCCTAGTTCTTAATATGCAATCTAAGATGTCAGTAGTTAACAATAATTTTACTTTGACTGAAATTCACAATGATCCAATATTGATGCTTATCCAAGTGGAAGGCCTCAAACATTGAGATTAGTGGGTCTCTTAATGCTTATGCATTAAAGTATAGGAGTTTGGATATAGCACAGTTACAAGGAGCTCTTTATGATTTTGTGTAATCTAGCCTCTGAGCAGAAGGTATAACATAAGCAGAAGTCTTCTCTTCATTTAACCAATTGAACATGGAGAGATTTAATGTTCCAATGGCTGCTTAATAGAACAGGTGCTTATAGCATGGTGTAGAATGAGTTGAGATTACAGCTGCTGCTTTTCCATAGTGGGCTTAGCAGTTTTTTCACTAGATGTTTTCTTCAGGTTGGGGAATAGAAATTTATTTTGTGGGTTTTTAGAGTTTATTTATAAAGCTTATTAGTTCCTCCCCTTTATAGATGAATACATTTTGCACATGTGCACCTACTTTTACTCTCAGCTATTTATGCACACAAGTGTGAAGGCTTTTCAGGGAGCAGAGCATCTGGAACAGGCTAATTCTGAGCTAAACAGGCCTCCTTTAAGGTAATATGAGCTGTTGCCTTCTATAAATTGCACATTAAAGAATTCTTAATAGATGAAGATTAGGAGTCAGAAAACATTCGTTGTAAATATGCAGTTACGTATAAAGATAGGAATTTCTTACTCCACATTTTTTCTTTATCATAGAATTTAAATATTTATTTGTTTTGTATTTAAAGACTACCTACACATAGATATATGATTCTAAGAGCATAATTTATCCATGCCCAGATTAACCAAGTGAACAATACTAGGCTAAACTAGTTATTGAAATGATTCTCAATTACATAAAGCATTGCAGCATTGATCCCCTCTGTCCCAGCCAGTCCAGAGTTTTTGATTACATATTTGTATTTATTTCAGTTTAGCTTTTAAATTGTGAAGTAAACCCTATTAAGTACCAACCCAATGTTTCAGTCTTGAGTTGGTAAAATACTTTGAAACTGATCCTAATTTCAAAGTTATCAATTTCCATTATCTGAAATTTTCTAACTTCCTACTAATATATCTCTCCCAAAGTTGCTTTGTAATCTGCCCTAATGATTACAATGTGAAATTAGAGAAGTAACCATGCTTTTAAAAGGGAATTAAGTCTTTACTGAATTTTACTCAGGTGAAACATTTGGTCAGAATCTCCTAAGGCCACAACTTGAGTGTTTGTGTGGGGGGGGTATCCAATGGAGGAGTTATACATAATGGATATTAAGGCAGCTTGATCTTCATATTAATCTATTGCTCTGGGGGGACTCAGCAAATGGTTTTATATGATTAAAATAAAGATGTAGGGCTGGGGTGGGTGGCTCAGTAGTAGAGTATTTGCCTACCATGTGCAAAGCTCTGGGTCCCCTCCCCAGCAATGTGGGGGGGAAAGAGGGGTAAATTGGAGGTTTAATTTTTTTCTGAAAGTGAATGGTCAGTTAGAAGGTATAAATAAATGTTTTTAATATATGCAGAAAGTGCATTGGTCTTCTGTCTCAGAAGACCTAAGTGTCTGGAAATTGTAGCCCTCAGCACAACTTTCCCTGAGTTGCTGCAAAGGCACAATGGCTGATAATAGAAATGAGGGCTAGAAAGGGTAGGAGGCTCAAAGAGAGGAAGCCCTGTTACAGGAACTGGAAAGTTTCATGCTTGAGATGAAATTCAAGCATGTTGAGCATCACTGCAGGACATGAGCCATCATCACCATTAAGGATGATCACTTGCTGCTCCCACTTCTGAGACTGAGAACCATTTTCTTTTCTTTAGCAATAAGGAAGGGTGAAGATTTGACAATTGCTGTTCAGATTTTTGAAACTCAGTTGATGACAACATACATGAATGTGCAGTTTGGTCTTAAAAGTCAACCATTATCATTAAGTCCTTTGCCTCTTAAAAGTTTCATTACATGAATTGAATTTGAATTTGATCTTTTTTATTGTGGGAGGATTTTTCTGTTGGATAAGGTCACAGAGCATGAGACTGGTAAGCATTTCTCTTTTCATTCCACTTTTTTTTTGGGGGGGGAGGTGGTTGTTTGTTTTTACAAGCAGTATTCCTCAAAATGTGATCAGAAGGCAGGCATGGCTGTATTTGGAGATTTAACAGTGTACTTTATACTGTTGACTTAACTGTTGTTTGGACTGCCTGTTTATTCCCAGAGAGGAAAATGAAAAATCTGTCAGTTCAAATTCTTGAGGAACATCAAGTCTTCAGAATTTATCTAAAGCTTATCATGATTTCATAAGACTTTCTTTGCATGCAGCTATTAGTCCAGTACAAAGCACTGATTTGTGATTCTTAACTAGACTGTTAATTTCTGAGACACTTGGATGGAAGTAAATGTATGAATGTTAATTTATGTATGTAAATTAGACACATTTTTCTAGATTCCGTGGGCTTTTATTAAAAATAGAGACTTTCTAGGGATTTACTTAGGCCATAGGATGGTCAAATCAATAATAATGACAATAATATTACTAATCATAGCTAACATTTATTGGGCACTTACTATGTACCAGGCACTATTCTATTTTTTTAAGGATTTTTATAACAGCTTTATTGAGATACACTTTACCATGAAGTTCACCCTTTTAAAGTGTACAACTCAGTGTTTTTTAGTGTATTCACAGAGTTGCACAACATCACTGCTATCTAATTTTAAAACACCATTATCGCTTCACAAAGGAACCCCACATCCATGAGCAGTCACTCCCACTACTCATTCACCTCAGCCCCTGTCAACCACCAATCTGCTTTCTGTCTTTATTGATTTGGCTGGGCCCTGTTCTTCAGTGCATGGTGTGTCTCTTCTACTCCTAGATATAAAGTGCTAGAGTTCTCATTTTACGTGTAGAAAATTGAGGCACAGAAGAAGCTAAGTAAATTGCCTGAGGTCACACAGGAAATTAATTTACAATAGGAATAACAGATGAAAGCATAATAGTACACAATTTTGGATTGCATTATTGTATACATGAAAAAGAACACACCCCTGCCCCAGGGATTGCCCCCTTATTATTAGACTTTCCACCCTAGAATTGATTGGAGGTAGATAATGCTGATCCTTTTTTTTCTGAGTAGTGGAACACTACACATCAGCAGCATCTGAGAACACAAAATTAGTTGTACATTAAGAAGAGTTCGGTTTGCTGCCCTCGTCTCTTTTTGAATACTTTCCTGTCTCTTCCACTACCACCACACACTTTAACCTTTTCTCTCAAAGTTTTAAGACTCAAACTTTTGCCTCTTAAATTTCCCAGAGGGATGGTAAATGCATCAGATGTAACTTATCTCTTCAGGTGTTTATAGTCTAGGGATGCATATACTTATTTCTCATACCTTTTAACATTCCTAACACCTCAGTAGGCATGCAGGAATAGAATACCTTTCTAGATGGGCTAAACTAGGTAAGAGGAAGAAATGTCCGAGTCAAGACTTTGCCTTAATGAAGTCAGTGTACCCCTGGTAGGAAGTGGCCACACACCACTCTTATTCACTCTATTGTCCTTGCAGAGCCTGTATACTCTGTGCCATCACTGCTGGTAATTTCGTGGTCCTCTCCGGTACTCCCATCTTAATCCTGATTGTTCCTATAAATAATAAACCTGTGAAAAGAAGAAACCTGTAACTTGGTTTGTGAATGTTAAATATGTAAATAAAAGCACTGGAAAATGAGTGTTTTGTGTGCCTATCCTTGTGCTGAAGGTACAGAGATATTACTGCATACCGGTATCAGATACATATATATATGTGCAGATGTGCATATGGTCATCAGACAGTATTGAATGGTGTATAGGATTGCACAGGGAGCACGCTAGAAAGGGAAGTCACATTTATTGAGTGCCTATTATCAGCACATCTAATCACAGCAGCTGAGAGGAATAACTGGGAGATAAAAAAAGTGAAGTTTATGGACTGGGATTGTGGCTCAGTGGCAAAGCACTTGCCTTGCATGTGTGAGGCACTGGGTTTGATCCTCAGCACCACATAAAATTAAAGACACTGTGTTTTCATCTACAATTAAAAAATTTTTTTAAAGTGAAGTTTATAACTTGAAGCAAGGAGAACTGGGGGTAATTCCCAAAGTAGTGTCTCCTCAAGAAAGCAAGCATGGGGTTTTTAATGGGGAAAATCATACATAAAGAATCATACATACAGAAAAGACTCATCACATGTGGAAGTGGGCACATTCTTAAACATACTCAGTTTGAAGTCATGCTTCTTCTCACATTGTGAGTTTAAAAATGGTGGACAGAAATACTTCTTGATGGAGAATTTGATTTTAAAGTGAGCAAAGTTTAGTCTAGGTCATCTAAATGTGGATAGTTAGAATGACTTAGGCTGGGTTCTTATAATTTCTTGTAAGTTAGAAGCACATTTACAATCATTTAAAGGGGCAGTCCTCCCCACTTCAATCATAGGTGATTGTTTCTAGAAGTATCTGCCAAAGGGCTGACATTTTTTGGTAGGTGGTATTAGCCTTATCTTAAGGAATCTGGGTCTCAGGGAAGTTAAATTGCCCACTTATGTAGGGAATGGTGCAACCAGTATTCAAATTCGGGTTTTAATGACTCTTAAAGCCTCTTTCCTACGTCAATTCCTTGCCAAGTTAAAACTATATCTACTCAAATGAATTTAATTCAGGTAAATCAGGCAATTTAGGAACTTGGTGAGAAACAGATTTTGGTCTTCTGGAGACAATACCTGCTTGTCTTTTTAGTTTATAATCAACTTAGAGAAACTGAATTCTCTGTTGTTCTACATAACATAGTTGAAAAGTCATGGTTCTTAATTTTGGTACCTAAAATATCAGAGGAGGGAGCCTTTGAAGAGTTGGGATAATTGGTTTAATCTAAGAAGAGAAGAGGAAGAGCATTCCAAATGGAGAATCCTTGTGAACAAAGGTAATCTGGAGCTAGTACGTCTGTATACTGCACGTTTGACAGTGTGGCATATTGTCCTGTGTATAATTTTATATGTTTTACTCTGCAAAGTAAATACAACCAATGAGTTTTTAGAGCTAAGATAATAGGCTCAGAAAAGTGAAAGAATGTGTCCTGGGTTACAAAGTCAGTCTCAAGAATGCAATTGGAAACCGGAAACAGTGGTGTGCACTGTAATCCCAGCTACTTGGGAGGCTGAGGCAGAAGGATCTCAATTTTGAAGCCAACGTGGGAATCTTAGACCCTGTCATAAATTTTAAAAAGGCTAATGGGAGGGAGGGCTGTCATGTATAAAGCCCTGGATTTCATCCCCAGCACTTTAAAAAATGCAATTGGAAGAGTGTTCTTTATATTAATAAAAGCCTTCTAATGAGAACTCAAATGTTGTTGTGAATTCAGAGTTAGCTGAGACAAAATTGAAGGTTAAGTATTGAAAACCAGAGAACTCATGTGGTTAGGGCTCACCGTGGTGGGAAATAGGATGTCTACAAGGGATTACCTTACCAAAAGTGACTTCAAAGATATACTTGAGGACACGGTGAGCAGTTGGATTGGGAGGAAAGTAGAGGGAAGAGAGAAAGATCAGTGTCTTGAATCTGTAAGTCAGAAGCCTACAAACAAGGTGTGCCAAGAATAGTTGTGTAGGGGCTGGGGCTATAGCTCAATGGTACAGTGCCTGCCTCACACATGTGAGGCACTGGGTTCGATCCTCAGCACCACATAAAAATAAATATATTGTGTCCATCTACAACTAAAAAAAAAAAGAATAGTTGTGTAGGTGCTGACTTGGCTACAGAAGCAGTGATATTCTACAGACAACTGGACATATGAGTCTGCAGGGTAGAAGTCATAGCTAAAAATGTAAATTCTAGTCAATAGATGCCATTCATACTGAGAGGACATGATATCACTGACATAGTCTTGATTACAACCAGAATTGCTAGAGGGCAGGAATTTAAAAGGAACCAGAAAGAGGAGGAGGTAATGAAGCAAAAACAAGCAATGAATTTTCACAGTATATTCATCTGAAACTAAATCTATGGGGTAATTACCTTGATTTTTTTTTAGAAAATATGAAGAATTAAGTAAAGACAGAAATTTAAGGGAATAGAGACAGGTAAAGAGATTTAACTATTATATTCAAAGCATTTTAATAGAGGTATGAACAAAGGCAGTGGGAACCCAGAGATGAGATACTTTAAATGTCTTTTTAAGTTGTAGGTGGACATAATACCTTTATTTTATTGTTTATTTTTATGTGATGCTGAGGATCGAACCCAGTGCCTCATACGTGCTAGGTGAGCACTCTACCACTGAGCCACAACCTCAGCCCAGAGATACTTCACTGTGCTCAGGTATTGACAGCCCATGAAATCACTTGCTCTGTCTGTTGACAGTCTTCTCCAGGTTAGGAGAAGCTTGCTGCTCTCCAAGGGAGAGGCATTGGTACATACTCTAACTGAGTCCTTCTTGATATTAGCCCTCAAGATACATATATCATTATCTCTTCACAAATAAGGAAGCAGAGACACAGAAGTGAAGTGACTTGCCCAAGGCCACATGACTAGTCAGTGGCAAAAATTGAGACTTGAAATCAGGTCTGATTCTGGAGAACACATTAAGTTAGAATTAGCCAAACATAGGCTGCATGAAATGGAAAAATCCAAAACAAGTGGCTTCTATAATATAGAGGTTTATTTCTCTCTCATATTAAAAAAAAAAAAGGCTAAAAGGAAGAACTCCAGGGCTGGCATGGTGGTTCTCTGGCAACATGGGACCTAAGCTCCAAATTCTTTGTGTCACCAATTATAGTATTAGTTTCCTTCCTAAAGGTGACTGCCTAGTCCAGGTGCCCAATTCATTTTATCTGCATAGCAGAACAATGTTAGAAGGCGGGGAGGACAAAAGAGCAGTTTTTTCTCAGTTTAGTTAGCTCCCTTTGAGCTACCATCTTAGAAGCTGAGCACAGCACTTCTACTTATATCTCATTGCTAGGGAATTGAACTACATGGGCAAATAGCTTCAGAGGCAGACTGACAGGTTAGTTCATTGCTGCCCCAAATAATATTGGAGTATGGCTATTAAAGAAGAGGAAATGAATATTGAATGCAGCAGGCACTCTTGCTCACATTTCTTTAATTTAATCTATTTTAAGGATAATTTAAATATAAGTATTTCTTTTTTGTGGTTCTGGGGATGAAACCAAGGGCCTCATGCATATGAAGCAATTGCTCTACCATTGAGCTTCGTCTCCAGCTTTATAATACTCATTTTTCAAAGCACAGGCTGATGAATTTTGACAATTGTGAAGAGTCACATGAAACTCTAAATATTTTCACAACCACCATCAAGATATTGAATAGTTTCATCATTTCTAAAAGGTCCCTTGTGTCCATTTATCATCCATCTCCTCCCATTCCTGGTGCCAGGTAATCAGTGATCTGCTTTCTGTCACTTTTGATTAATTATTCCTATTCTAGAATTATGTGTGATTTCTCCCATCTGATTTCTTGTACTCTGCATGTTTGGGATACCTGTCGTTGCACACATCAGTCTGTTCCTTTTTCTTGCAAAGTAGTGTCATTCTGTATGAATTCATTCTTCTGTTAATGGATGTTTCATCTGTGCTCTAAAATTCATCACTTGAGTTATCACCAAAGCTGCTCTTCCCCTGGGCTGCTCCCTGCAGTGACTGAGTGTGAGCAGGATTCTAAGGCCCATTCCTGGGAGAAGGGGGTCCTCCCTGATGGGTGGTTGTTGTTTAAGGAATTCTCAATGGTGTGAGGGAGTTTTCTTTTCTTTCTTTCTTTCTTTCTTTCTTTCTTTCTTTCTTTCTTTCTTTCTTTCTTTCTTTCTTTCTTTCTCTCTCTCTCTCTCTCTGTCTCTCTCTCTTCCAGTGTTGGGGATAGAACCCTGGGCCTTACACATGCTAAATAAAAGATCACCCACTGAGCTACATTCCAAGACATAAAGCTTCATTTGTTTAGGGACAGTTACTAGAGATTGATTTATTTATTTATTTATTTATTTATTTATTTATTTATTTCTCTCTCTCTTTCTTTTTTGTTCCAGGGATTGAACACTGGGGCACTCGACCACTGAGCCATATTCCCGGCCCTTTTTTGTATTTTATTTAGAGACAGGGTCTCACCATGGGGGACTTTTCTTAGAACTGCACTGAAGTCCAAGATGTTTCCACCCATCTTTCCTCCTTCGCCCTCATTTGGGGGTGGGCGCAAGGACCGGATATTGAACTCAGGGGCACTCAACCACTGAGTCACATCCCCAGCCCTGTTTTAAATTTAATTTAGATTCAGGGTCTCACTGAGTTGCTTAGCGCCTTGCTGTTGCTCAGTTGGCTTTGAACTCACAATCTTCCTGCCTCATCCCCCACAGCTGCTAGGAACTGCACCACTGCACAGGTTCACTCTTTTTCACTCAGGATCAGACTTGCATCATGATCTGATACCCTCCCAGTCTCTCTTAGCTTCCCCTTCATTTGCTCTCACAGGATTTTCCCTAATGGATCACTGGCATATTTGATCTAATTTTACATCGACTTCTCAGATGATGAGATTAACACAGATTATTTTCTGTTTGATATCAGAAGCAAAACAATTATGAGCATTTGTGTGTGTGTGTGTGTGTGTGTGTGTGTGTGTGAGAGAGAGAGAGAGAGAGAGAGAGAGAGAGAGAGAGAGAGAGAGAGAGAACCCAGCGCCAGGGGCACTT